AATCTGAATCTATATCTGTATCTGATATCTGTATCTGTATCTGTATCTGTTCGGACGTCGTTTGGAAACTTGTAACCAACGACCTTTCTGTGACCTGTGAGCTCAAATCCTGTGGCTAAGTTATTCGAGTCGGGCCGGCAAGGGCCTGGACGATTAGATAACGAACCACGATAGTCTGTTTTGGGATCTCTGGGTATTGAGACCCTTGATTCCGGTATACTCGAGTATTACCATTTCTGTTCGGTTACGGTGAGCGGGCCCGGTAAAGGGGTGTTTGGTGGACTGAATTCGGTGTAAAGAGGGGTCTACGGACGCGTTGGTTCTATATACGTTGACGGAGAGTCAACCGGTTTGGATCAAGTACTGCGCTGGAAATTTGGCTCCTGAGAGCCACCCGTATCCTTCTGATTTGAATCATTGGTTCCTTTGCTTTACATCTGGCATGTGTACTTGAGTTACTAAACGTGAAATGCCATGATTTTATTGCTATCTGTTTGGTACCTCATTGAGCGCAAGCTCACCCCTTTCTGTTCCTTTTGTTTTCCTTACAGGAAAATAAACACTTTTGGTCTGGATTTAACAAATAGCTGCCAAATTGAGCTAGTTGAACATATCTTTTGTATAGCTCATGTATTAAAATCCTAAATGTACTTTTGGGGACTATTTCCTTTTGATTTGGCAAACTAGACATGTATCCACTTTTGAATACTTTTGTATGCCACTTTGGGCTTGTAAATACTAAGTTTCAAGATGTGAATGTTTGCTTGGTATTTGGTTGGGTTCTGACGGGTCGGTTATTATTCATGGCCGACTCCGGATTTCATTTTATTTTATTTTGGGTTATTTTACTATTTTGATTTGTTTCCGCGCGTTTGTAAGTTCCGGAATGAAACAGATAGCTCTAATCTGTTCCGTTAGTCCTGGCGAGAGTTGGGCAGACGGTCCGCCGAACCCTTTGGTTCGCCTTAGGGTAAGGCGGGGCTGTCACAAATAAAGCATAAATTAAAACAAATAAACATATAAGAGCACGTAGCACATAACACGTAAACATAATATCTAGATGCCAAAATTCTAAGAAAAGCGGATAAAACACATAACACATAAGCCACATAAACACAAAACCTATCTATTATATCGGGGATTCTAACTACAATCTAAAATGGGAAAAATATGATAAAATAAAATTAGTTATCCTATCTATTACATTTTTGAGGTATTTAAATGCCTCTCGAATAATTATAAAAATTAACTAAACAAATATAATATAAGAAAATTTAAATGAACATTTAAATCCAATAAATAAAGCATATAAAAATATATAAACACATAGGAACACATAGGAGCACATAAGAGCACGTAATTGACATTGAAATAATAAAAATAGGAGTACCTCCCGTTTGAAGTGGTGACTAAATGGAGTCAAATTGTCCTATTTATACTCACAATGAACAAAAGAATCATGACACCAATTTAATTGAAAAAAATAATAATAAAAGTACTAAATTCACACTAATATGTCAACCGTAAAGAAATTTAAGAAAATCTAAAAATTACAAGTTAAGTATATTCAAAAGTAGCATAATTAGCTATTAAAGAAAAGAAACAATCATAATAAAGAGAGTCAAAATTCATCAGGGACTGAATTGCAAAAATAGAAAAACTTTTGGGGACAAAAATTATACTTTTCCAAAGTTCAGAGGTCAAAATTAAATAAAAGATAAAATTCAGGGACCAAAGTGCAATTAATTTAAGGACCTACATGAAAGAAATTTAAAACGTTCTGAGCCGTAGTAAAAGTACTCCAAAGATCAGGGGCTAAAGTGCAAATTCGCTAGCAGATCTTCTTAAGAAAACAGGTCACTGGGCCATTATTTAATTCTTTGGGCCGAAAACTACCTAAACCCAGCCGAAAGTCCAAGCCAAAACACACAGGCCAGCCCGTCTTCTATCACTCAAACCCAACCAAAAATAAAGCATGGGTCTAACCTTCTAGTCCAACCCAAAATAAGTAACAAGCCCACTAAAAATAAAATAAAATGAGCCCAAACCACTTTCCTTTTTCTTTTCTTTTTCTTCTTCTCTTTTCTTTCTTTCCTCTTCCTCCACTTCCAGCCATTTCCTTCCCTTCTTCTTCAGTCAGCTGAAGAAGCTTCAGCTATGGCCGCCGAACCGCCGGTCGCCGGCAACCTCTCCGATCGCCAAAATTTTTCAAAATACACCTCCCCACTCCATTTTTTCGCGTAGATTCCATTTCCGGAGTTGGTTTTTACCAAAAACGACTCAAAAGTGTCCAAAATGTAAAAAAAAAAAAAAAACAGTCCAGTTTTTATTTTTTTCCAATCACCCCATCTTTCACCAAAAATCATGAAAATTATACTACAACACTCTTATAACTCCTACAATACAAATATGATTTTTATTTCGACAAGAAAACAAATAAAAGGGCTAAAATAAAGCAAAACAGTCCCCTAAGATTCTTTTTTTTTCATTTTAGCATTTTTTCAAACGGTTAACATGCATGCATAAGACACATTTCCTTTTCCTCAATCTAGTTCATGCCATTTCCCAAATTTCAGCAACACAACAATTACAATAAAAAGCCAGCAAACAAGAGAAATTAATATACAACAACAACAATAAAACCAACAAAAGCAAGAGAAATTGGGCATTGAAACATGGATGTAAATATGATAAAAAAAAACTGAAAAATACCTCAATGTAGGTGGTAGTCCCTTGACCAAGATGTTTGACACAATTTCCAAGCCTTGAGCGTATCTTCCTAGCTCCCTTTGGTGATTGCTTTGTGTGTGGATGTGTTAGAAGAAATTGAGAGAGCGAGAGGGAGAAAGAGCCGAGACAAAAAATTGGAGAGCTTTTTTTTTTTCTTTTTTTGTTCTTTTGAGGGAGAGAGCCGAGAGGGATGGAGATTTTCTTTTTTTTCTTTTGTGGCTTCTCTTCTGTGTCTTGTGGGAGAGAGCCGAGAGAGGGAGTGTTTTTTGTTTCTTTTTGGGTCTTGTCTTCTGTGTGTGAGAGCCAAGAGAAGAGATTTAAGAAGTAAAGGTAGGGAGTTTGTGTGTTGGATCTTCCAAAATGATTTTCTCCACCTAATGAAAAGAAAGGTGCCTCGGATAAAATGATGATTTCTTCCAAATAAAAGAAAGATGCATGGAGTTTTTGAGTGCAAAAATGGATCAATAGTGCATTTGGTGAAAGAGCAATAATTATGAGAAGATTTTTGATTTCTTGATTTTCTCTTTTTTTTTGTTGTTTTTTTTGTCCTAAAATAAACCTGCAAAAAATGAGAAAAATACACATTAAAATGTAAGAAAATAAATAACTTATTAAATAGAAAAAACTCACTAAAATATTAAAGATTGACAAAAATTTGGTATCCACAGCTTGCCCCTCTTTGTCTAGAGCTTCAAAGAAACCCAAGACAAAGACGTAGACACCAAATTACTTACCTATCTTTTCTAGCTGTAATTAAGCTAAAATAAACAAACCAACACTTGGCTGAAATTATTGGACAAAATTATGTAATAACATTACAGAAAATATGACCGAACTCATGTAGAGTTGCCTACGTATCCCACCATGGGAATCAGGTCAAACATAGTTCGAATGCAAGTGAACCACAATGAAACAAGTGCATTGATCAACTGTGATCTTTGCAAAGTCGAAAAAGTCTGAGCTCTTAAAACTTCTAAACATGAAACACAAAATAAATAAGAAAGCACAATTATTAATCAAAACAGTAAAAAAAAAGTAACTTGTCATAACTAGAAAAAGATACGCGGAGAGACGCGGTTACGCTCCAAAAAAGGGGATAGAAGGGTGCGCGGTGAACGCTGAGACTCATCAACAGGAAATTAAATTTGTCAAGAAGGAGGATAGAAGGGTGCGCCGTGGACGCTGAGACTCACCAACAGGAAATTAAATTTGTCAAGAAGGGGGATAGAAGGGTGCGCGGTGGGCGCTGAGACTCACCAACAGAAATTTAAATTGTCAAGAAGGGGGATAGAAGGGTGCGCGGTGAATGCTGAGACTCATCAACAGAAAATTAAATTTGTCAAGAAGGAGGATAGAAGGGTGCGCCTGGACGCTAAGACTCACCAACAGGAAATTAAATTTGTCAAGAAGGGGGATAGAAGGATGCGCGGTGGACGCTGAGACTCACCAACAGGAAATTAAATTTGTTTTTTAGAAAAAGATGCGCGGAGGGACGCGATTACGCTCCAACAGGAAATTAAATTGTCAAGAAAGGGAGATAGAAGAGTGCGCGATGGACGCTGAGACTCACCAACAGAAAATTAAAATTATCTTTTAGAAAAAGATGCGCGGAGGGACGCGATTACACTCCAACAGGAAATTAAATTGTCAAGAAGGGAAGATAGAAGGGTGCACGATGGACGTTGAGGCTCACCAACAGGAAATTAAATTTTCCAAGAAGGGGAGGTAGAAGGGTGCGCTGTGGACGCTGAAACTCACCAACAGGAAATTAAATTTTCCAAGAAGAGGAGGTATAAGGGTGCGCGGTGGACGCTGAAACTCACCAACAGGAAATTAAATTGTCAAGAAGGGGAGGTAGAAGGGTGCGCGGCGGACGCTAAGACTCACCAATAGGAATTAAATTTGATTGTCAAGAAATAACAGATTGGTGGGATAAAACCCGAATCCAATAAAATAAAACGGTCAGTGGGATAACACCCAAACCCTGCCGAAGTTGGTGGGATAAAACCCAAACCCAACAAAATAAAAACGGTCAGTGGGATAAAATCCGAGTCTGCCGATCCCAACATGATATACAAAAGACACGTTAGTGGGTTGGATCCGATGCTAACGTGTGACGACCCCACCTTCTCCTAGGGCTTACCCTAGAAGTTAGCGGACCGCCTGCTTGGCTCTCGCCAGGACTCACTCACTTACATTAACTTCAGAGATAACATTCTCATTGAACAACTGAACATTCACTCTTAAGTACCACTTTAATCAGCTTGAAATACACGTTCTAAACATCCATTCTTAATATTACATCAACTCAAAACAGAAGATTCAACCATCTTAAAATACGAAAGAAAACGTGACTCCAATATATACACATAGTGATGGAATTTCCCAAAACAACGTTCCAATTCCATCCAATCACTTTTCCATCTCCAACTCCTGTAAGGAAAACAAAGCTAAAAGGGTGAGCTTACGCCCGTGAGGTTTCCATGCAAACAACAGTCAATAAGCACTTAAATCAATACAATTAAGCGAGTAGTGCACATTTCACTGTACAATCACTTTCATTAAGCAATTGAGGAAGCACATCACCAAACAATCACTTTCAATGCACTACACACTCCACCGAACTCCTCCTTATAACTTCCAAAATAATAAACACTTCCCTCACTTGGATGGCCATATCAATATCAGTAATCTGCTATTCCGTGGCAATACTCGAGTATACCGAACACTTACCCAAAGCTACCGTCCTACTCGACCAAGCCCTTTGCTGGCTCGAATAGTCTGTTGAACAGGGGGTTTTGGGGCCCAGGTCAGCCAGTGTGATAAATTACACACATGGCTTACAGTCATGCACACTTACAATATCACTTGATCAATTATCAACCTTCAAGCTCAACTAAGCCGAGTGCGATAAAGTACACTCTCGACTTAGAAGGCGAGGGACAATTGAAAACACTTCACAATGAATTACTTAGCAATATTTCCTAATAAGCACATTTGCCATATAATTGTACTTAGGTACACATAAGCAGTTTAACACATAAATTCGGAAAACACTCACCAAAGATTCAAATGACTACTTTCGAGTCTCGAGTTGGTTTCCTGGTTCACGGCTACTTCCTAGTACAAGTTAATAATTCTAAAGTGAATATTCATTTTATATACAACCACTCATCTTACATAATTTAAGGTTTAAGTAACTAAAACCCAAGTTCGTAAGCTTATAAAACGAATCACCAAAATCTAGCAACCTTCCTTACGCTTGTCTTCAAGATTATTAAGTTTGGTAGCTTTAAAACAAGGTTAATATACATATACACCAAATTTTAATATCATATAAAACACTTGAGCTAAGATTAACTCATTTCCAATCTAATGTGCAAGGATTAAAACAAGCAAACGCTTCATTTCTTCCGTCTAGGCTAAAACGGATTCTAGTTTGACCGTAAAGTACAAATATAATATATTCAATATTCATTTATCATTTTATTTTGAAACTCATTGACTTTATTGTTTTAATCAAGAATTATACCTGTTTTCCCAAGTTAATAATTTATAAGATATTTATTTTAGGATTAAATCATTTTCCACTCAAGATTCTAAGATTACAGTTTAGGAGCACTTCATTGGTCCCCTTTTTAATTAATTAAACTCTAGGTTATTTGTAAGTTAAATTTTATTCCACTACACCAGTCCCTCAAATTTTATAATCTTTAAAATATTTGTGAAGACAATATTAAGTAATTAGAAGCCAATTTAGGTACATAATTATCATGAGTTTTCCCCTCATTTGCTTTAGTTTAACTCTACTTGTGGAGCTGTATATAGCCATTAAATCTCAGGGTAACTGTAGCTATCATTTATGAAAGCTTACAAAGTTGGAAATTAGAGTAAATGCTGGTTCAAAGTTGGTTCCTCACGGCCATTATCAAAGCAAAGTGCATCCGGGAACAAAAGGAAAGCAACAAGAAAGGCAGCTTTGCCACCCTCTGATGTTTTGATCACAACTAGATCTACGCTTATCGGATTGAGGCGAATTTTATAGCGTTTCGAAGCTAAGACATAGACCTACATTTCTTCTGAAGACATCAACATCCAGTTATCACGTTTTCAAGGCCAAAAAGGGATGGTCAGAAGCACAATCTGTTTCATTTTCTCGGTCAGCAACCAAAACTAGTAACGTTACTTCAAGCTTTCGACGAAAACTCTATTCTTTCACTTGCTTAAAACTCTAAATATTTAAAGTACATTCAGTCCAGCATATACTAAGGAAAATAGCATCTAGTTTCAACAAATTATTCAACCCAAAAGCTATGCACAACAATCTGTCATCAACTAATTACAATTTGCAGCAGTATAGCAGTTTAACATGTGGTGTTTTCTCATAATTTTCTTTTCAGTTTCATGCTCCAACTAGACATGCGGGGATGATCATTCAACTACAGACCACCTTAAGCAAAACATAGAAATTTATAGCCAAAAATCCAAGAGAAAAGCTGAACCAAGATTTAAATCCTCTCTCGGCTATAAAGCGGGTTCGTAGCAGCAAGTAATGCCTAAAGACGAGTTTCTTCTACTAGATCCCTCCATTTTATGCTCAAACCTCTCATTCATAAAGAAATCAAGATGTTATACAACATATTACAGATTAACACAGAATTTTAGAGTCATTATTCACCAAAGACAGCTGAAACTTTTCCATCCCCCCCCACTCGGATGAAGCTGGAAAAATTCCAGCAAGGATCTTCCATTGATCCTCCCAATTTTCAACTTTCCCCAAATTTCTTCAACTAAACTTCTTATAATACCTGAGGTATCTATATAATAGGTTCTTCCTTTGTTATTTTTTTCCATTTTTACACTACTAATGAGTTGCAATTCCTTTAGTTACCTCCCGATTCCTACGACTTCAATCAGATAACCATTTACCTTAAAACCAGAATTTTCTCCTGTCGAAGCTCAGTTTCCTCTGCTACAACTTAACTTGTAGGTTGAATATATACTCTTTTATACTCAGTAAGTAAGTATTAATCACATAAAATTTACCTCTTGCCTTTAAGAGTTAAGAATTGCAGATGGATCAGATTTTTTTTTCCAGCTTTGTTCCCTCAAGTCTGCACCAGCTATCCCTCCCGTTTCCTTGCCTTCGTTTGCTTGATTATGTTTAGCAGCTGATGAGGTTAACCAATTTTCTCTCCTCGCACTTAGTTCCACTCCCTCAGTTCGTTTTAGAAAGAAAGAAAGGAAGGAAGAAGGCTGCCTTGTTTTTCTTCCTCTCGGTCACCGCCCAAGCTAGCAGATTGTTTTCTCCTCTCGGTTGTCTTCCAGAAGATGGCTTCCTCAGGTTGCATAGTAGTTTAACCAAGATTCAGGGTTAGTTAGGTCATTAATATTAACTTATTTGCTCACTAAGGGGCTGCGGTTTTATTATTTCATGCATTGACTCCAAACTTTATTTGTTCTAATTTATATACCCTTACAAAATTCTCGTACATTAATCTAGGAGATTTTCATACATTCAGTTTTAAAGGAAAATCAACTAGACATATAATTTATTCAACTGTATAATATATGCTACGTGTCTAGTAATATATGCAAATGACACAATTTACAATATACATACCATGTGTTTATTTGATTCATAAAAATTTTTCTACACCAATCTAGGATATTTCTAATTCTCGATTTCATAGAAATTCAATTAGACATTTAATTTAACCACTTATTCGTTATATGTAATATTTCCAATATCAAGGTAAATAAAATAAAATAAATGCAAAGCACACACCTGATTTTCTCGAGTTCTCACATAACGGATGCGAAAAAACATAACACACGTTAGTGAGTCTATACTCGATGTTAACGGTGATAAAAGACACGTTAGTGGGTTGGACCCGATGCTAACGGATGCGAAAAAATATAAAACATGTTAATGAGTCAATACTCGATACTAACGGTGATAAAAGACATAACACACGTTAGTGAGTCAATACTGGATGCTAACGGATGTGAATAAACATAATACATGTTAGTGAGTCAATACTCGATGCTAACGGTGATAAAAGACATAACACATGTTATTGCATGAAAAAGTTCTTGAATACTTACCTGAAAAATCATTTCAAAAATTGACTCAGCTTGAATCAATTTTGTACAACCAATCATCTGCTTTGCATTTTGACATTGTTGCTCAAGTTGGTGGATTTGTAATCTTCTTTTTTTTTTCAAACTTTAGAAGAAATGAAAGAAACACATCAAAAGTGACGAATTTTAAAATTTGAAGAATACCAATGACAACTCTCCCTTTAAGAGATTTGAGAGGTACATACATATGTCTCTATCCTCTCGATTTTAAAAGACTTTTTTTTTTCTTTTTCACAAAGCCGATTTAAAATGCATTACCAAAATTGGAGCTCGTTCTTTTTTATTTTTGTCCCAGTGTAAATCATGTTTAACGAAAGCCACATTTTTCATGCTTTCGAAATGACCAGATTTGAATGAATGGCCATTTCAAGTTTCAACACTATGCTTTTCATTTATGATTCTCTTGTGCTCCAAGGCCTTACATTGATGACCTTAGCCTTTCAGATTTTCACTAAGGTCACCCCGTTTTTTTTTCTTTTTTCTTTTTTTTTGTTTTTGTTTTGTTTTTGTTTTTTTTTTTTTTAGAAAACATCCTTTCAGGTTTTCACTTAATGAACAAATCTTGTCAACAACCTTTATCAACTCAAAAATATGTTTTAAGAAATAATGGCATCAGTGCGACAGTCCTTCCCATGCAAAATTGGTGAAGGTGTATTGACATCATTTGTCATTTGATTAAGTGATTTTTATTAGAGATACTACTAAGGCGGAGGTCGGGACTTCATGATTTTTTATGATGGGGTCAGGTGGGATGTGGAAGAAATGTTAAGGCTTGAGAGAAAAATCCTTAAAGAGGTTTCAAAAACCCTAAGATCACGTTCTATCAATATTTGCCCCAGTATGAGGGTATTAAAACTGAAAAAATTGCCCCAGTTTGGCTTTTTAATCTTTTTTCCTTTTCCTTTTCCTTTTCTTTTTTTATGACAAATAGGAGATAAAATTTGCCCTGGTGTGGGATTTGCAATCTTTAGGGGGCTATCAAAAAGAATGATTAAGTTATTTTGAAGGTTCAAAGGGAAAAATCAAGGGTAAGATATTCAAAGAGAAAAGAAGAAGGCCCGCCTTTAATCCACCCTAGATGGTATCTCAAAAAGAAAAATCACATAATCAGATAAAGAATTTCTTACACATGTCTGAATTGATTGGCAGAGAAAAAACCTGTCCATCCAGTTCTGTGAGAATGGGTGTTCCTTCGGATAGCACTCTTTGAACAATAAATGGCCCTTGCCAAGCTGGAGCAAACTTTTCTTTAACCTCCTTTTGAATCGAAAGAATTTGGTTCAAAACTTTATCCCTTACTTCAAATAAGCGAAATTTGTCTTTCTTGTCATAAACAATGAATCATCATTTGTTGATAGTATTGTCCATGACAAATAACATTCAACCTCTTTTTCACCCATTGGAGATAACAACTCATTGTGCTCCTTGATCCATTTGATTTTCTCCTACCTGAGCCTTCGTTAAAATGCGCAAGGACAAGATCCCAATTTTGTCAGGTATTACTACTTACATTCGTAGCATAAGAGAATAAAATGTTGCCCCAACTTAGCAATGTAATCTCCTAGTGAAATGCTCCCAAAGTTCAATAGCAAAAATTTGCAAAAATTGAAGGAAAAATTCTCTTTTTTTTTTCTTTCACTCCCTTTTTCTTTTCTCTCTTTTTTTTATTCCCCTTTTTTTCTCTTCTCTTTTTGTTTTCTTTTTTTTCTTTTCTCTTCCCTTTTTTTCTCTCTTTTTTTCTTCTTTTTTTCTCTTTTTTTTCTCTATTTTTTTCTTTTTTTTTTCTTTCAAGTTGACTGCTACAGTATGCACTCCTTTTGAATAAATAGCAGATCCTTCACTTTGCAATGTAGTATTATTGCCCCTTTTTTATTCATGATTGACCTCCAAATTTGCAAGTTTTGAATTGCAATTTTTCCTCGATCTTAACCATAAACACCTGCACAAGGGGGATTTTTCAAAGCACTTGAATTTTTTTGATTTGATTTTTTTAAAGCAATGATATAACAATTAAGACTCATGTAAAGTATTGACTTATCAAGATTTAAAATATATATATATATATATATATATATATACACTTGATCTTGGACATACCCTACAAATGTATTATAAAATTTTGCCTCAATGTGAACTTATTTGACAACATCTCGCAAATATATTACAAAAAATTTGCCCCAATTTGGGCTTATTTTTAGTTGCAAAATAATCACATGCAATGTGAATAGAAACTACATTTTTCAAATGAAGACTTTAAATGTCATATCCAAACTCATATAGAAGATTCCATGACAAATCTCTCAAAATAAGACAAAATTGCAAAAGATCTCTTCCTCATTTTGGGATTGGTGTGGAGGTAAAAGGATCCCCTTCTTGTTAGCTCATCTTTTAGAACCAATCAAATGAGTATTATTCATGATTTTGAGGTAGCTCAAGGAGAAATGATAGGTCGGGATCTGTCTTATTTTTTGTGCCCAAATTGTATCTAACACATTCAATATCACATCTTGATGAAAGCAAATAGTTTATCACTCTTATTTCTTGAGAAAACTCGTTCAATATATAAGCTTTATAAGCTTGTAATGTATGGGTAGAAACGATAGCTAAATATATGAAAACATGTTATAACCTTATGGTCATGAGTGATTGGTAGGCTCCTTAGAGGCAAGATTTTCACTTCAAATTGTCATGAAAGATAAGTCAGCAATGGACTTTATAAGCTTGTAATGTGGCTTGACAACGATAGCTAAAAGAAATAAAATTTTCAAGGACAACGCACTTAAGATCGCATTCCTTCCCAAAAATTGCCCCAGTTTTGGACTTAAAACTCAGGACCCACTTTGACTCTCTCTTTTTATTCATCACTAGAGGGAATTCAGCATTGGATGTCTTTGCATTTTTCTTGTCTTTTCATTTTTCATTTTTTCATTTCATTTTTTTTTCATTTCTCTCTTTTTCTTCCTTTCTTTTTTTTTTTACCAATATTGAGATCCCAACTGTCGATGATAGAATTAAAAACTCCCTAATTTTCGAGTATAAATGACCCCTCTTTCTTTCCAAAATTGAAGATCAAAATATCAATGGTAGAGTCAAATTTTCTCAACTTGTAATTTTGTCTCTTTTTTTTCACTCTTTATCTTTATTTGATGTCCCTTTCAAAAATTTTAAGCATCTTTGCCATTTTTTTTCAATTCTCAAATCTCCTTCCCCAATGTGGGGGTGCGATTATAAGTGCTTTTGGAATGAACCACCAATTTAGGCTCAAACGAGGATGCAAATGATGGATAGTGTTTGGATAGTAGAAACAATGGCCAAAGCATCATTCTTGTTTCTCATGACAACCAAAGTAAAGAATAGCCCGTTGAGAAAATCCATTTCCTTTTGACATTTGAGAATTTTTTCATGGATGGTCATGATCATTTAGATTTTTATTTGAAACGGAATTCTATTTTTAAAGGCTCAAATGGGAAAACAAATGATAGAATCTATATAGATAGAGAAACGAAAGCCTAAAGTATCATTCCAAATTTTCAAAACAAATAAGAAATAATATACATTTTTGCTTTCACTCAAATGTGGATTGAATCTGGTTAGACACACTGGACATTTTCATGGTAAAAAAAATTGTCTCACTTTGAAGCTAGTCAACCAAGGCGACTGACTTTGGAGGTTCAATAGAAGTGGGCAAAAAAAATGAAAAAGAAAAATGTTGGGGTTGATCTTTTATGACAAGCTATCAAATTTGTGTGACCCCTTTTATTTTCGACTACTCTAATTGAGTAGTTTAGACCACAAATTTAGCATATACAAAGATTTTTGGGAATTGGACATACCCTCATAAATTTTCAAACAAGAGGTCGAAAAATCTCAATTTAATCTTATTTCTTAGGATTCATCATGAAATCTCCCAATAAGCGAATAAAGAATGAATATATACAAAATAATAATTGTCTAAATAAAAACTTTATTGTTCAAAAATTTTTTTTTGTTTTTTTTGC